AAACATTAGTAATTGGCTGCGTCAGGTGGTGGCGGGTTTAACGACACATTTATATACTGACGCGATCCAACCCAAAAAAACCTGTATCATGGACAATTGTAGACCGTTCGAAGCACCTGCACTGCCTTCGTCTTGAGGTCTTTGAGACGCTCCAGATCCTGCTTCTGTTTAGGATTGTGAGGTCCAGGTCCGATGAGCTGATGGTTGGAGAGGGGAAGAGAGGGGGCATAGGGAAAGAGGAGAGACACAGACACAGAGAGAGAGAGAGAGTGGGGGAGAGAGAGAAGGGGGAGATGGTGGGGTAGTGATGGAACAAAGTGTGGAATGGAGTGGCAAGGAGAGAGAAAGGGGAGAAAGAGAGAGGGGAGAGCGGGAGGAGAGACTGGAGCAAGGGAAGTGATTGGAGAGAAGTGAGGTGAAGGGCAGCACAGGGAGGATTAGAGAGAAGGGGAAATGGACATGGAGAGAAGGGAGGAGAGAGGTGGGAGGGAGACAGGAGAGAAAAAACAGAACGATCACCAACCACCACCACCAAGAGAACCACCGTTCACTCTTTTTCCCTGTTCCAATGATGCCTGGCAAGTCGCAGGGTGTGGGTGGGTGTGTGGGTGGGTGGGTGTGTGGGTGGGTGTGTGGGTGGGTGTGTGTGGGTGTGTGTGTGGATATGTGTGTGGATATGTGTGGGTGTGTGTGCGATGGTGATAGCGGCGCTGTGATAGTGGTGACGGTGGTGACAGTGGTGGTAGTGGTGGTAGTGACGGTGGCTGTGACAGTGGTGATGGCTGTGACGGTAGTGATGGTTGTAATAGTGGTGATGGTGGTGATGGTGATCAACGCGGTGATGGTCATCTGAGTCAGCAAACCCATGGCACCTGCTGGGTCTGTCCAGAGACCTCCTGTCAGCGAACCTTCGACACTTCACGCAGCCTCAAAGTGAACCTGGCCTGGGACAGGCGCCGTGGTGACATCATCATCACTTAGTGGTGAATGCTGGATATTGGTATTGGTGGTGTTTGTGCTGATGGTGGTTATAGCTGTGATAGTGGTGGTGGTTGTTGTGATGGCTGTAATAGTGGTGATGGTGGTGGTGATAGTGGTGGTGATGGTGGTTATAGTGATAGCGGTGGTGATGGTGGTGATAGCGGTGGCTGTGACAGTGGTGATGGCTGTGACAGTAGTGATGGTTGTAATAATGGTGATGGTGGCGATGGTAGTGATGGTGATAGTAGCAGTGATGGTGATGGTGGTTATAGTGATAGCGGTGGTGATGGCGGTGGTGATGGCGGTGGTGATGGTGGTTATAGCTGTGATAGTAGTGGTGATGGTGGTGGCAATGATGGTGGTGATGGTGATAGTGGCTATAACTGTGATAGTGGTGGTAATGGTGGTGATGGTGGCGGTGATGGCTGTAATAGTGGTGATGGTGGTGGTGATAGTGGTGGTGATGGTGGCGACGGTGGTGGCGGCGATCGTGGCAATGGTGGTGATGGTGGTAGCGATGGTGGCGGCGATGGTGGTGGCGGCGATGGTGGCGGCGATGGACTCTCACCGCTATCTGGGTGTCCAGGTCTCTGATGACATCGGCCACGGGCATGGGGTTTGAGAGGGGAAGCGTTGCCATGGCTACACGATAACGCGATCACCAGAGCTGCGGAGAGACAGTCAACACATGGCTACACGATAACACGATCACCAGAGCTGCAGAGAGACAGTCAACACATGGCCATGGCTACACGATAACACGATCACCAGAGCTGCGGAGAGACAGTCAACACATGGCCATGGCTACACGATAACACGATCAGCAGAGCTGCAGAGAGACAATCAACACATGGCCATGGCTACACGATAACATGATCACCAGAGCTGCAGAGAGACAGTCAACACATGGCTACACGATAACGCGATCACCAGAGCTGCGGAGAGACAGTCAACACATGGCTACACGATAACACGATCACCAGAGCTGCAGAGAGACAGTCAACACATGGCCATGGCTACACGATAACACGATCACCAGAGCTGCGGAGAGACAGTCAACACATGGCCATGGCTACACGATAACATGATCACCAGAGCTGCAGAGAGACAATCAACACATGGCCATGGCTACACGATAACATGATCACCAGAGCTGCAGAGAGACAGTCAACACATGGCTATGGCTACACGATAACACGATCACCAGAGCTACGGAGAGACAGTCAACAGATGGCTACACGATAACACGATCACCAGAGCTGCAGAGAGACAGTCAACACATGGCCATGGCTACACGATAACACGATCACCAGAGCTGCAGAGAGACAGTCAACACATGGCCATGGCTACACGATAACACGATCAGCAGAGCTGCAGAGAGACAATCAACACATGGCCATGGCTACACGATAACATGATCACCAGAGCTGCGGAGAGACAGTCAACACATGGCCATGGCTACACGACAATATGATCACCAGAGCTACGGAGAGACAGTCAACACATGGCTACACGATAACACGATCACCAGAGCTACGGAGAGACAGTCAACACATGGCTACACGATAACACGATCACCAGAGCTAAGGAGAGACAGTCAACACATGGCTACACGATAACACGATCACCAGAGCTGCGGAGAGACAGTCAACACATGGCTACACGATAACACGATCACCAGAGCTGCGGAGAGACAGTCAACACATGGCTACACGATAACACGATCACCAGAGCTGCGGAGAGACAGTCAACACATGGCTACACGATAACACGATCACCAGAGCTGCAGAGAGACAGTCAACACATGGCTACACGATAACACGATCACCAGAGCTACGGAGAGACAGTCAACACATGGCTACACGATAACACGATCACCAGAGCTGCGGAGAGACAGTCAACACATGGCCATGGCTACACGATAACACGATCACCAGAGCTACGGAGAGACAGTCAACACATGGCTACACGATAACACGATCACCAGAGCTGCGGAGAGACAGTCAACACATGGCCATGGCTACACGATAACACGATCACCAGAGCTGCGGAGAGACAGTCAACACATGGCTACACGATAACACGATCACCAGAGCTGCAGAGAGACAGTCAACACATGGCTACACGATAACACGATAACCAGAGCTGCAGAGAGACAGTCAACACATGGCTACACGATAACACAATCACCAGAGCTGCAGAGAGACAGTCAACACATGGCTACACGATAACACGATCACCAGAGCTGCGGAGAGACAGTCAACACATGGCCATGGCTACACGATAACACGATCACCAGAGCTGCGGAGAGACAGTCAACACATGGCCATGGCTACACGACAATATGATCACCAGAGCTGCGGAGAGACAGTCAACACATGGCCAAGAAAAAAACACACGATGTTATGGTTAAGGCGAAGAGTTGCCGGGGGGGGGGGAGGGAAGCCGAAGAGTCGCAGGTTGCTGACCCCCTGGCACTAAGTGGCAATAAACCCATGGCATTTACACTCATAATACATTGGGTTCTAGATTGCGTAAATGTACAGGGTGCTTCAAAAAAATTATAAACGCCTCTGAGAATTTGCAACAACAGCAATACCAGAAGAAGAGTGCTGCCTCCGGGCTCTGGAGACCACCTGGAGAAGTTTCCAGGCAACGCGTTGACAACGATGGCCAACAAGTGGCAGAGACTCTTTTACTTTTTGAAGCTGTTAACATTACATTTGTTGTCGTATTACGGGGAATTATTGATTTGAAGCTTTCGTGACTGCAGGAATCCATACTAAACCCGCTTCATCATTCTTGCTCTTCGATTTGCACCGGTTGCACCAAACAGGAACAACCATTGTGACCTCTGCTTCAAATCCAATCTCTCATCGCTTGATGCAAGAAGACATCTACACCGGGCCACGTTCATCCATAAAATCATCATTGACAAATCTGGGCTATACTAAGATAATTTATTATCACCATTGTCAAACCCAACAGAACGAACACGTCCGTCTTGACTGCCTATGAACTATCCCTAGAACAAGATAAGGGATGGGTGACAAAAAGCCTTTGCCTTTTGCAGCAACGGCAACGTTTTGGAACAACAACCCTGTATTTATACTCTTTGGTTCTTTCGGTAAAGTCACGTAGGTAAAAATAAAACTATATTCTTGGTTCTTTCGGTAAAGTCACGTAGAAGGGAAACAATTAAGTAGTAAAAATATGAAACAATATTTTTTTATTATTTTATTAAAATATAAAACAATATTTTTCCACCACAACATTTACTCATCTGAGTATGACGTTTCGCCAGTAATTATTGATGATGCCGATTGTAAATACTGGCGGAAAGTCGTACTCAGGTTGTAAATGTTGTTGTGGCTTTACTCTCCAACACACAACTGGTCAGTGCTGTACTAGTAACGTGCTGATTGTGATTGTACTCAGTACTCAGATTGTGAATGTTGTGGCTTTACTCTCCAACACACAACTGGTTAGTGCTGTACTAGTAACGCACTGATTGTGATTGTACTCAGTACTCAGATTGTAAATGTTGTGGCTTTGCGCTCCAACACACAACCGGTTAGTGCTATTGGTCACGAAAGCCTGCTATAATGTGTTAAAACTGAGCATCTACATTGTTACTCATTGGTTTTTTCGGTAAAGTCACGTATGTAGAAATACAATAAAATTATATTAAAACAAAAAACAATCACGACGTTTCGATCACAAGGCAAGCGATCTTCACCAGGTGTCAAGAACAAATCACGGAGGTAAATACAACAAAAAGATGAGAGACGAGAATTCAACAAACCTGAAAAAACATTATGTGAAGCACATCCAGTCAGGCCAACAACACAGTTAGACACTTCCTGGCGGCCCATGAATTTCAGAAGAGTGTTAAATTTCGTGTTCAACCTTTGGACTGCACATACCAGCATGAAGATCGCTTGCGTTGTGATCGAAACGTCATGATTGTTTTTTGTTTTAATATAATTTTATTGTATTTCTACATATGTGACTTTACCGAAAAAACCAATGAGTAATTTTATGCAGTCACGAAAGCTTTAATACTTTATTATCACACTTCTACGGGGAAGTTACCATTGTAATTATGTGTAAGATGTGCCCTTTTTTGAGCTGCCGTTTTGTATTTACAAGAGGTGGTCCTTTTTTGAGCTGCCCCCTCTCTCTCTCTGCCTCCCTGTCCGTCTTTCCTCCCTCCTTACCTCTTGGTGGACTTGTATATGTATTTCTACTGACCGTGTACCTCGTATTTTTCATTCTATCTATGCTGGTACGTGCAATCCAAAGGTTGAACACGAAATTTAACACTTCTGAAATTCGTGGTCCGCCAGGAAGTGTCTAACTGTGTTGTTGGCCTGACTGGATGTGCTTCACATAATGTTTTTTCAGGTTTGTTGAATTCTCGTCTCTCATCTTTTTGTTGTATTTACCTCCGTGGTTTGTTCTTGACACTTGATGAAGATCGCTTGCGTTGTGATCGAAACGTCGTGATTGTTTTTTGTTTTAACATCATTTTATTGTATTTCTACATACGTGACTTTACCGAAAAAAAACAATGAGTAATTTTATGCAGTCACGAAAGCTTTAATACTTTATCATCTACATTGTTCACAAAAAATTTACCATTATCATTTTAACACGTAGCAGTAGCCGGGCTTTCGCGACCAAATATTATCCACAATCGAGTTTATTTTTGTTGTTGTTTGGGGGAGGGGGCTTTAGATCGCATAAATATAAACGTTGTGTCGATAAACCCACCACCACCCGACACAGTCAATCAGTAGCAATGGGGGTTTGTCACGCACCGCAAACCCCTGCATGTTTTAAACTCTCCAGACCACTGCGGTGTGGCGAAGTAGTCACGAATTGTCAAAAACATCGCTCAGCCCAACGCCACACACGGCACACAAACAGCGACCAACAATAATATAAAAGTCGGCGTTAGGTGTTACCCTTTCTGGCAAAAAGACGGGAGTTGTGTTACGATGTTAAAACACCAAACTGAAACCTGTTGCAAGGAATCCTGTCACTACATTCACCACAACACTTGTGGTGGACATGCAAGTGGCAGGATTCCTTGCCACAATATTTGTGGTGGACATGCAAGCGGCAGGATTCCTTGCCACAATACTTGTGGTGGACATGCAAGTGGCAGGATTCCTTGCCACGACACTTGTGGTGGACATGCAAGTGGCAGGATTCCTTGCCACAATACTTGTGGTGGACATGCAAGTGGCAGGATTCCTTGCCACGACACTTGTGGTGGACATGCAAGTGACAGGATTCCTTGCCACGACACTTGTGGTGGACATGCAAGTGACAGGATTCCTTGCCACAATACTTGTGGTGGACATGCAAGTGGCAGGATTCCTTGCCACGACACTTGTGGTGGACATGCAAGTGACAGGATTCCTTGCCACGACACTTGTGGTGGACATGCAAGTGACAGGATTCCTTGCCACAATACTTGTGGTGGACATGCAAGTGGCAGGATTCCTTGCCACGACACTTGTGGTGGACATGCAAGTGACAGGATTCCTTGCCACAATACTTGTGGTGGACATGCAAGTGGCAGGATTCCTTGCCACAATACTTGTGGTGGACATGCAAGTGACAGGATTCCTTGCCACAATACTTGTGGTGGACATGCAAGTGACAGGATTCCTTGCCACAACACTTGTGGTGGACATGCAAGTGGCAGGATTCCTTGCCACGACACTTGTGGTGGACATGCAAGTGGCAGGATTCCTTGTGGTGGACATGCAAGTGGCAGGATTCCTTGTGGTGGACATGCAAGTGGCAGGATTCCTTGTGGTGGACATGCAAGTGGCAGGATTCCTTGCCACGATACTTGTGGTGGACATGCAAGTGACAGGATTCCTTGCCACAATACTTGTGGTGGACATGCAAGTGGCAGGATTCCTTGCCACGATACTTGTGGTGGACATGCAAGTGACAGGATTCCTTGCCACGACACTTGTGGTGGACATGCAAGTGGCAGGATTCCTTGTGGTGGACATGCAAGTGGCAGGATTCCTTGTGGTGGACATGCAAGTGGCAGGATTCCTTGTGGTGGACATGCAAGTGGCAGGATTCCTTGTGGTGGACATGCAAGTGGCAGGATTCCTTGCCACGATACTTGTGGTGGACATGCAAGTGGCAGGATTCCTTGCCACGATACTTGTGGTGGACATGCAAGTGACAGGATTCCTTGCCACGACACTTGTGGTGGACATGCAAGTGGCAGGATTCCTTGTGGTGGACATGCAAGTGGCAGGATTCCTTGTGGTGGACATGCAAGTGGCAGGATTCCTTGTGGTGGACATGCAAGTGACAGGATTCCTTGCCACGACACTTGTGGTGGACATGCAAGTGGCAGGATTCCTTGTGGTGGACATGCAAGTGGCAGGATTCCTTGTGGTGGACATGCAAGTGGCAGGATTCCTTGTGGTGGACATGCAAGTGACAGGATTCCTTGTGGTGGACATGCAAGTGGCAGGATTCCTTGCCACGACACTTGTGGTGGACATGCAAGTGACAGGATTCCTTGCCACGACACTTGTGGTGGACATGCAAGTGGCAGGATTCCTTGTGGTGGACATGCAAGTGGCAGGATTCCTTGTGGTGGACATGCAAGTGGCAGGATTCCTTGTGGTGGACATGCAAGTGACAGGATTCCTTGCCACGACACTTGTGGTGGACATGCAAGTGGCAGGATTCCTTGTGGTGGACATGCAAGTGGCAGGATTCCTTGTGGTGGACATGCAAGTGGCAGGATTCCTTGTGGTGGACATGCAAGTGACAGGATTCCTTGCCACGACACTTGTGGTGGACATGCAAGTGGCAGGATTCCTTGTGGTGGACATGCAAGTGGCAGGATTCCTTGTGGTGGACATGCAAGTGGCAGGATTCCTTGTGGTGGACATGCAAGTGACAGGATTCCTTGCCACGACACTTGTGGTGGACATGCAAGTGGCAGGATTCCTTGTGGTGGACATGCAAGTGGCAGGATTCCTTGTGGTGGACATGCAAGTGGCAGGATTCCTTGCCACAACACTTGTGGTGGACATGCAAGTGACAGGATCCCTTGCCACGATACTTGTGGTGGACATGCAGGCCACAAAAACCATGCTCTGGTAAGGAGGCCGCTTTCCTATCTTACAGTTACACGCTAATTTTTTCACATTAACATCACTAGCCCAGGCCAATTCTGTATGACCCTTGGGCTACACCCAAGTCAAACCTTTTAAAACAGTCTGCCTAAGCAGCAGGCCACGCTTTTTTTATTTGATGACGGACGCTTGGTGCTTCGCCCGAAACGTCGTGATTTACTTTATAGCTACGTGACTTTACCTAACGAAACAAAGAGCATGCTCTGGTGAATATATTGATGCATTGTCTTTTGAGCCGAGTCTCAAACGGCGTTAGACCAGAGGACAGCGCCAAAAGGCGAACACAGCACAAAGACAATGCCACTATCAGGACATTTTGACGGCTCAGGTTGAGCAGCTATATCGTGAACATCCCTTGCCCAAGTATCAAAATATGCAGTGACACGATTCCGTACAAAAAGGTTTCATATTCTTGGTTCTTTCGGTAAAGTCACGTCGAAGGGAAACAATAAAATATTTGTATTATTATTATCACGTAGAAGGGAAACAATAAAATATTTTTTTATTATTTTATCGTTTCCCTTCTACGTGGTGACTTTACCGAAAGAACCAAGAATATTAATCCCAGCAGTCACGAAAGCTTTAAATCAAAAAAAGGTTTCAGTTTGGTGTTTTAACACCTTAACACAACTCCTGTTTTAGCATGGTCAGAAAGGGGTAAAACCCATTCTTATGTTTTGATATACTGCCAAGGGAGGTCCAAATGATGTAACCAACAATGATGTTTATAAACAGGACGACGCCGCAAAAACCCCCTCGACCCCCACCCCCTCGCCTGACCACCCTGCGGGAAACGCCGCACTCGCGCGGGCAGGGAAAACAAGGCCGACATGGGTGAGGGGTAAGCAGGGCTCGGGGAAATGTTCGGGGAACTCTCCCTCGCCGGTCTCCTCTGCTGGTACTCCTTGGACCCCGAGAGAACCTTGGGGAGAGGGGGGGGAGCCTAGAGGACCATCCCGGGAGACAAATACGGACGGGGGGGGGGGGATCAGAGGAGAGGGAAGGGGAGACCGAGCGAGTGAAGCCTACCGATTGCAGATGGAGGCGCGGGCAACCCACAATGCAGCGCGCGCTTTCGGGGGTGAGGTGGGGGTAGTGAAAGTGGGGAGGGGTAGGGTCAACACGCGCATGCATTAACATAAAGCGGGCGGTAATGTCTATCAACATTAACATAAATTAAACATGTAATTAACATAAATTAACCTCGCGGTCCTAAGCACATTTCGGGAGTAACTGATAATTCTAGATTTAAAGCTATCGTGACTGCAAGGATCCACACTCTTTGGTTATATTCGGTAAAGTCACGTAGGTAAAAAATAAAACAACGATAATCACGACGTTTCGACCACAACACAAGTGGCCTTCATCAGGTGAAGGAACCAACCTGTCCAGAGGGCAGCGTTGGAGTGAAAAAAAGTCAAGCGCAGGTCGCCTCCTTTAAGCTGTGAGTGGGTAAACAGAAAAGACGCCTTGACAAAGGAATTAGCATAAAATATAAAGCTGTGCAAGCTCGCAAATAGCACCAAAAATACATTAGCACCACCGTGAGAGTTTGGGATGCCACTAATTGAATGAACATACTGTACCATTAAAAAATCCTTTAACGTTTGGTTCGATTTAGAACATCTTTCCAATGGTTGCTTAATTTGAAGCCATCTTCTCGCTTGAAATTGTGTCTGTGTTTGTAGATCTGAATTGCCTCGTGAACAAATCTCTGATAAAAACCCGTGGGTTGCAAAGAACCTTGGTATCGGAGAAAAGTATATCGTGATCACCCACAGCGTTGTAACAATGATCAGCTACGGCAGAAGAATTCATTTTGCCGTGTTTCAAATCTGATTTGTGCTCGCGAATTCGGTCAGAGACATGTCGCTTTGTCTCACCGATATAGCAATCACCGCAGGTACAACTCAATTTGTAAACCCCGGGGTACTGTAAGTCAGGAATGACATCCTTCATGGATGGGATCAGATCACGAATTTTGTGTACTGTATTGAACCGGACCTGGATCTTGTGTTTGTTTAGAATTTTGGAAATCTTTTTAGTAACGCCTGCTATATATAGTAGTGTGATGGTTTTGACCGGAGTATCAAGTGGTTGTTTCTGTATGGAGGGAGAAACAGTTTGGCGGATGGTACGGTCAGAGTATCCATTCCTTTTGAGGGCCAGGTATACATGTTTTAATTCACTGGTCAGGTGGTGTTGGTCCGAAATGCAATGAGCCCTATGGTATAAAGTTTTGATGAGATAATTATTTTGGGCTGGGTGGTGGTGGGAATCAGGTTTCAAGTAGGAATCTATGTGGGTGGGTTTCCTGTAGACAGAATGCCCCAATGAGCCATCAGGTCTCCTCTCAAACAGAACATCTAAGAATGGTAGCTTGCCATCTTTCTCCACTTCCATGGTGAATTTGATGGCGGGATGTATGGAATTGATGTGGTGTAGGAAACGGTTCAGAGCTGAGAGGCCATGTGGCCAAATGACGAAAGTGTCATCCACATATCTCTTCCGTTTTCTGTCAGATACCTTGCTGGCTTTCACTGGCAAGATCGCCTCAGCAGTACTTAACTCAGCCCAATTGGTCTCTATAGTCAAGACGTTGTACTGTCCCCTGACGATATCCTTGTCAGCGTCGATGTGGTCTCTTTGTTCACCAAGGTCCCAGTACCTGATACCATTGAAATAATTGAAAATTTGGTCCAAAATGGACTAGACCCCGATACACCTGCACTGGTTAGGCATTGCCTCAACAATACCTACTTTACTTGGAATGGCTCCTTCTACAAACAAAATGAGGGTACCCCCATGGGATCCCCCTTGTCACCAGTGATAGCCAATGTTTTTATGGAGAAATTTGAATCGGACACCATCCAGACTTCCACCCTCAGACCTTCCCTGTGGAAGAGATATGTGGATGACACTTTCATCATTTGGCCACATGGCCTCCCAGCTCTGGACCTTTTCCTACACCACATCAATTCCAGACATCCCGCCATCAAATTCACCATGGAAGTGGAGAAAGATGGCAAGCTACGATTCTTAGATGTTCTGTTTGAGAGGAGATCTGATGGCTCATTGAGGCATTCTGTCTACAGGAAACCCACCCACACAGATTCCTACTTGAAACCTGATTCCCACCACCACCCAGCCCAAAATAATTCTCTCATCAAAACTTTATACCATAGGGCTCATTGCATTTCGGACCAACACCACCTGACCAGTGAATTAAAACATGTACACCTGGCCCTCAAAAGGAATGGATACTCTGACCGTACCATCCGCCAAGCTGTTTCTCCCTCCATACAGAAACAAACACTTGATACTCCGGTCAAAACCATCACACTACCATATATAGCAGGCGTTACTAAAAAGATTTCCAAAATTCTAAACAAACACAAGATCCAGGTCCGGTTCAATACAGTACACAAAATTCGTGATCTGATCCCATCCGTGAAGGATGTCATTCCTGACTTACAGTACCCCGGGGTTTACAAATTGAGTTCTACCTGCGGTGATTGCTATATCGGGGAGACAAAGCGACATGTCTCTGACCGAATTCGCGAGCACAAATCAGATTTGTAACACGGCAAAACGAATTCTTCTGCCGTAGATGATCATTGTTACAACGCTGTGGGTGATCACGATATCATTTTCTCTGATACCAAGGGTCTTTGAAAACCCACGGGTTTTTATCAGAGATTTGTTCACGAGGCAATTCGGATCTACAAACACAGACACAATTTCAACTGAGAAGATGGCTTCAAATTAAGCAACCATTGGAAAGATGTTCTAAATCGAACCAAACGTTAAAGGAATTTTTAATGGTACAGTATATTCATTCAATTAGTGGCATCCCAAACTCTCACGGTGGTGCTAATGTATTTTTTATGCTATTTGCGAGCTTGCACAGCTTTACATTTTTATGCTAATTCCTTTGTCAAGGCGTTTTTTCTGTTTACCCACTCACAGCTTAAAGGAGGCGACCTGCGCTTGACTTTTTTTCACTCCAATGCTGCCCTCTGGACAGGTTGGTCCCTTCACCTGATGAAGGCCACTTGTGTTGTGGTCGAAACGTCGTGATTATTGTTGTTTTATTTTTTACCTACGTGACTTTACCGAATAGAACCAAAGAGCATAGTAACTGATAAAACTCGCCAGATGTTTGGAAAAACAAAACATCCGAGCCAGATTTGGCACGGTGCATAACAAATACAGAATCTAATATCTGGTGCAAAAGATGCATTACCGAAGCTATCAACCGAAGGTGTGTACGGGATTAGCTGCACGTGTGGCAAATGTTATGTTGGGCAAACAGGACGAATGATCAGCACGAGACTAAAATAACATCTGAGAAACACATTCCTGCGGAGGGGGCTGGTAGGAAATTTTTCCTACCAGTAATGCCCACTCGGAGCGCATTTGTTATATATCCGGGTGTTCGGATACACGTGGACAGATATACACAATTAAACCCCTGCCTCCTGTGAATTAATCCCGGTTGGGCTTCCAGTCCGCTACGTTTCCTACCAGTAATATTAAATTATACGCTTTGGTTCTTTCGGTAAAGTCACGTAGGAAGAAGAAAAATGATAAAATATTACTTTTGTGTTGCGACCGAAACGTCGTCATATATTATTTTTTGTTTTATTTTATTTATTACTAGCTTTACTACCCGGGACTTGGATTCACGATTCCCGGCCTCCTTTGTCTCCCCCAGTGGCGATGTTCACACACCACATCAGTTACTCGTTTGAGACTGAGTCGACCTAGGAGAAGGCCCAGGACCGGTTAAAAAATAATCGTCACCAGTGGTGGCCGTGAGCGGGAATCGAACTCGGGCCGCCGGGTTCGAAACGCAGCGTAGCGCTAACCCAGACGTGGGCAAAGTTCGGCCCCCGGGCCGTATACAGCCCGGGGGCTTTTTAATCTGGCCCGCCGAACTTGTCCAAACATTAATATTATTATTGTTAAATAAAATTTTACCTTTCTCCTGTAATGTCCCCCATTTCCCCATTAGATGGCGCACTTTGACCGGGAGTGTGGTGTATAGGGCTCGAAAGGGCACATGATCTCGCAATGCATTGTGGGCCGTCAGCGCCATTTCCAGGGTTTGTTTACATTGCTGAGTTAGATACGGTGCTCCCTTCACTGTTTCGCTTTGCCCTGTGAGCCCTTCTGTAAAATGAGCGGATCAAGGAAACGAAAAGCGGACAATGAGTGCCGAGTGTTTAACACGGAGTGAACAACAAAATACTTTTTCACTGAAGTCCAATCGAAGGCTGTATGCCTGATATGCCGAGAAACTGTCGCAGTTTTCAAGGAGTACAACATCAGCCGTCACTTTGCTACGGAGCATGCTAACTACGCTAGCAAGCAGTCAACGCAAGAACGGGCGGCTACGGCTCAGAGGTTGGCGGCTAATTTGCAGACTCAGCAACATTTTTTTCACCGACAAACTGCGATTCAAGAGTCAACTATCAAGGCAAGTTTTTTGGTGGCATTCGAAATAGCAAAGGCTAGCAAGCCTTTCTCCGAAGGCGAGTTTGTAAAAGAATGCATGGTACAGACAGCAGGCATCTTGTGTCCGGAGATCAAAAGCAAATTTGAAAAAGTCAGTTTATCACGCAGGACTGTGACTCACCGTGTGGAACTGATTGATGAAAATATAGCCAGCCAATTAAACAAAAAGTCTGATTCCTTTGAGTTATATTCTCTAGCACTGGATGAAAGTACGGACGCAAAAGACACTGCTCAGCTCCTCATTTTTATCCGAGGCATTGACGACAGTTTTGCGATAGCAGAGGAGTTTTTGACCATGGAGTCCCTGAACGGAACAACGCAGGGAGAGGACTTGTATAACCAGGTGTCTGCTGTCATCGAAAGAATGAAGCTACCTTGGAGTAAACTTGTCATTGTCACAACGGATGGATCGCCAAATTTAACTGGAAAAAAATATTGGGCTGCTGAAAAGAATCCAGAATAAAGTGAAAGAGGAAAACCCTGACCAGGATCTTATTTTCCTTCACTGCATCATCCATCAGGAATCCCTGTGTAAGTCTGTATTGCAGCTTAGTCATGTCGTGAATCCAGCCGTAAAACTTGGTAACTTTATACGAGCAA